CCAGCCAGTAAAGATTTACAGTTTAAGGGTCCTTCATTTGTTTGCTTTAGGGTTGTTTACAGGCCACAGTGACAAAATGTGATGAATTTGCTTGCACGATGAAAACACTACAGTTCAACTTCAAACACCCTCAGAGGTTCAAGCTGGACTTCTTTCTATGTCTAGAACTTTAAGGGATTCTGTTTTTTATTTAATAACTGTGACTTTACTTTTTCCATAAAATGAAGTTACACATACATTCTTTTGCATCAAGTTCACTTTTAATAATTCTACCACGCAGTAAATCTGTGTGGTTTTGATGTGTGGCTAACTCAGCATCTTTTAGAAATAGAAGAGTCTGAAACTCAGACAATCAGCCAATAGAGTTTCTGGTGAAGCTGGAGCCAAATCACTGCTTTTAAACTGATTCTTAGAGTCCAGAGTGAACCGTTAGTGTCCTTAAACAATTTGTTTATTGCCCACATGATATTTCCTGCATGTTTGTAGAGTTTGAACAATAAATATATTCATTTACAGTGAGCACTTGTCCTGCTCTGTTTTTTAGTCTTTACTCTGTTTACTTTGTTCTTTATAAAAACTTCAAGAAGCTTCTTGTAAAATAAAATATCTTCAATAAAGTACAGCACTTAGGTTCATTAATATTCCTGTTAAATTAATGTCAAAATCAGTCAAACTTCTCAAAGAAAATCAGCACCATGAGCAGGCAAGCAGCAGGACAACAAACCTATACAAAGACAGAAACATCTTTAATGAAAAGGAGAGCAACAACCAGGGCGAGACAGACGTCTGACTTGAAGATGTGGAGTCAGGACTTTACATCCACTCATCATGGGCATAACTGTCATGACAATTTTAGTCTTTTCATTATTTCTTTGAACTGCCAGCAAAATAGACCCTGATGCTACCAGCACTATGATGTTTTTAACGAACACCTTTTATTGCTGTAATGCACAGACACACCAACAGAGGGCAGTAATATCCCTTTAACATACATTGTGAAAATACTATTACAACACTCCCACTTAATTTTACCATGGAGTTCACTTACTTGACTGCCATTGCTTATTTCTTTCAAAAAATTATGCACCTATATCACGGTGTTACTAGAAAATAAACATTTTCTCTTTTGTTTTGAACTCACACAAAAAATGTACTGTGTCCATCTTAGACAAAACTATTATTCTTCATTACAGTTAAATGCTCACCATCTTAACATAAGCATAGTATAGGCATGTTAAGCATATGATAACCCTTTTAAACTGAACACAGTCCAATCTTCCCTCTGAGATACTCAAACTTTTGTCTAGGCAGCGGTTTGGTTAACATATCAGCCTTCATGTTTTCTGTACAGCAGTACTTCAGCTGGATTTGTCCATTTTGCACACATTCACGAATGTAGTGGTAACGAATGTCTATGTGCTTTGTTCTTGCATGATCGACTGGATTTTTTGCGATTGCAATTGCTCCTTGATTGTCCTCCAGGATCACTGTTGCTGTGGTTTCCATTCCAAGCTCAGTTAGTAGTCGTCTTAACCAAACTCCTTCTTGTGCAGCTTGGCTCAAAGCAATATACTCAGCCTCTGCAGTTGAAAGTGCAACTGTTGCTTGTTTCTTGCTAAGCCAACTGACTGCACCTCCTGCAAGTAGAAAGATGTTTCCAGTTGTAGAACGTCGATCGTCCTGATCACCTGCCCAATCAGCATCTGAATACCCAACCAAGGTTCCTGTTTCTGTCTTTGATATTTGAGCCCCAGGTTTAGAGTTCCTTTCAAATATCTCAGGATTCTTTTCACAGCTGTCAGGTGTGTAGTGTTTGGGTTTGCATTGAACCTTGACACCACACTCACTGCTTGTGCAATATCTGGTCGTGTGGCCATGGCAGCATACAATAAACTTCCAACCATTAACTA